GCACGATAAATGTTATTGAGCATTCATATGACGGTTTTTTATGAAATTAACCTACTTAAATGTTGGTCGCGCATAAATCATGACCGACCGATTTGGCAATAGGCAACTTTGAATTAAATTACTTTCGATAAATTAATGAAACCGAACTCATTTACGACAATTTATCGCTGATTTTATATTTTATAATTACGCAGTATTTCACGACTGCTCGCAATTTTTCCATTTCGAACCAGCTGCTGTTCCAAAGGGAGGAATATTAAATTGTCAAATCGAACAAAAATGCTTTTCGTTAATTGCCATTTTTCCTAAATTAAATTACACTTCCAACATTTGACGCCATGAATTCAAGATCCACAGAAAACTGTTGATGTATATGTTAGCCAATATTGATCCAATCAAACAAAAAATCGTTGCTATTTTCAAATCTACGCCAACTCGTCGGCGCCGGAATGTCTGACGTCAAATCTGTAACGGCGGCACAACATGACGTCGTCTTCGAAGGTAGTGACGTCAAGTTCAACTTGTGCGTCAGATGCTATTATTTTGATAAAAAAAAGTTATTTGAATTTTTACTTTTTCTCGAGTCTCCTGCAACATCTCGCGATCAGTCTCTATACATTGATAACGCCCTCTATCGAATGACGATATTTTGAGAAAGTTAGCATCAGTAGAAGTCACGATTTGAGCCGCTCGAAAACGAACTGTCAACTTTAACGTAAAACATGTTTTTTAATCAAAAAATAAATTAAATTGCGCGATTGAATATGGTAACTGATTCAAATATATAAGGACTCACTATAGAAACTGGCAGAAGCACAATATGACCTAATTTAGTCGAAATATAAATGATTGAAAATTTCATTCAAAGTTAGCCGGTTTTACGGTACAAGATGAAAGGTGGAAGGTATTGCCAAAAAGAAGCGGTACGTGTTCACTCACCTAAAACTATTGTATGTATGTATGTATGTATGTTCGTCTCGTAAAAGCAATATAAAAGAGTAATTAATTATAAATACTGAAGACGGGATGTATGCACAAGACCATATTGGCCTAAAAACCGGTGTGCGGCATACACCCCTTTTGATATATATAAATTATAATAAGGTAAATCAAATATGTACAATATGGTCCTTTATACAGGCAGTTGTGCAAGGAGGGTGGGTGGATGCGGTAACAGGGATATGGGTGGAGTGTACAAAACTGTTTGTACAAAGGAGTTTGTTAGACAAAACAACATCTATAAATAGACACAACACAACATGAAACACACTGCATATGAATATAGTAATAAAAAAATTTTTTTAAAAAAAAAATTAAGAATTTGGATGAATGTACAATACCATTGAGTGATGATACCACATACTATAAAACGCGGGAATGGTCAAGTTTAAAGGGTGTGTCACACTCGCACACACACACAACCATAGGGCATTAATAAAATTGGAAAAAAGAGAGAAGCTTTAGATAAATTTTATGGAGTCAGAGTAAAATCTAACTAGTTTAATCAGTAGTTAGAACATAAGACGTTTCACCGCCTAATGCTAGCTGTAAAATCGTCTGACCATTGGTACTACCGTACCGGTACCGGTACCCATCATCACCAGACTAAAGCTACTCAGAAAACAAAATAAGCATTCAGTTATTTGAATTTTACCGGTACCGGTATCTCGACTTTGGAAACACCGAGTACCGTTCGCTACCTGCAGACCTGTAAAAGCCTTAAAGCTGCCAATACCGTCATGACCCGGGAACAACACGGCTACACGGATAAACTGTTAGAAACAACTTGTCTGCATACACCAGTAGGCGAGGCATTTTATTACTTATCGATCTCGATCGTTACTTATCGATCCTTCCACGACCTTTGACCCCCGAATTCGTGGCTTATTTTAAGAGTGGTTTTGCAAGTTGGCACCGTAAAATGAGATATGTGTTTCAAACCATCATTATGATTCAACGCATACAACAATCCGTTTTTTGAAAGTACCGGTAAAGAATTTTAGCCTAGTCTATCACAGCTATTTCTACACTAATTTTTTTTACTGCAATTAAATCAAAACTCCTAAGAAGACAGCGTGATCATTGAATTATCTGATTTATATTTAAATTTCCGAAACACAACTGAAAACTAACGAATAGAATAAAAAAAAACGCGAAAACGAGGTAATGTTTACGACCACGCCCGAAAATCTGACGGACGAGAGGCCGTGGTTCGCCATATGAATAAGCCGTCTTATCGGCTTTCCTCTCCCCCGGGATAAATATGTAAATCCTATCCTATCCTATAAAAGTGTCTGAGCGGATGCGAAAAGGGAGCATTGTTACATCACTTTTCACGTCATGCTGATTGGCCAATGTCACGAGGTAAACAAGGATGTCGATGCTCGAGGAAAGGTCCATCTGTAATTATGATGAAAAGTATTTGTCTGTATTTTTGACACTCGCGATATCTCACGAAAGTGAGGTGATTTTGGATGAATTATGTGGTATAATTAGCGAGTTATTGATTATTCAGTGATAGGACACGCGGTGTCGCTATTTAGTTAGAGCGAAGGATACACGCCGCTAGATCGATAAGTCGGCGGTCTCCGACAGCCTTCTGTCCGGTTATCAGTCCATGTCGGGTATGAAATTAATTAGCCAGTACTTTATTAACTATAGGAGTGTAATCTCCGTCGTTGCAATAACACCAGGATTACGTTAATATTTACCACTGTGAATTATCCCGTTGTTTTTTTCCACGCGGTTTATAAGGTTATGACAGGTTTCCACGCGGAATTTAAGCTTCCCATCATTAAAACACACCAAAGAGAGATGAACCCTGCGCAAAATTAAAGTTCTCACATAATGATACTGAAATGTAAAGATCTATATGGGCGCATTAAAATAACACCGGTAAATTGCAAAAAGTATACATGACAAAAACAAATCTGTACTACAAAAAAAAGAATGAAAAAATACCATTCCCATTCATTCTCAGAAAAATTCAAAGTGTTTGCAATTGTTTTATCAAAAGAGTTTTTCATAGAGGAAATCGCAAATAAATTGATGACTTATTTTAGGAGCATAGACTACTACGACTTGTGGATTTAGCTGAATTCGAACCATGTACTATGATGTTCTCTTGCTACATTGGATAACTTCCGTCCAGCCTGTTCCGAGCAAACCCAAATTCAAACATAAATAAATAAGCTTTTTTATTCCATTCGTCAGTAAAAGTATTTCACAAAAATCAATTGCAGTATTTGGACTAAAAGCTTCGAATTCCCTACTCAATGACATCAAAAAGGTAAAATCAAACTCTGAATTTCTGCCAAACTCAAACAATATATATTATCATCATATCAGCAAATTCATCTGCTTTGAATATATTACTGTTTCGGAGATTATTTTCAAAGGTGTATTCAACACAGAAATGAAGAACTGTAGATTATTTGGATTGGAAGAACTATCAAGAAAATGTCAAGATCATCAGACACCACAGACCATATGGCATATTCAATAACTCCACATGCTACTTCACCCGGATTCAATATGGAACAATGGACTGATTTAATAACTAGATCAATTTTAATATCATCTTAATTAGACAAAAGAACAGCAATTCAAGTTATAGATAGTAAAATACAATGGAACTTTAATGCAGCAAACAGTGGTTTTTGTTCGAGTTTATGCTGTTCAACTTCTTCCCATTATTGTTGCCTATCACAAATTAAACATTCTCTTCTCTTCATCCCAGAATACCATCATATTCCATTATTATTTTTATTAACTTTGGAAAATCCATGGCATGGTAAAAGTGCTTCTCTTTATAATTTATTATTCTTCTATCGCACTGTACTTCTATACCTTTCTAATCTTCTGGCTGAAATCCGATCATAATAGGTTATGTGGAAATGCTTTTTATCAAGTCCTATTTTTTTCATTTTGAATCTCCATTCCAAAAAAACTTCTTTGAGTTTTTGCTAAATTTAGAATTAGAAAAATACCTCAAAAGAGCGAGTAAATTGATAGAATTTGATACATAACATTATCATATTTCACGTGACATTTGCGCCAAAACAATCATAGACGACTTATAACACTATCACACTTGAGTGGTGCATGCCATATATGTACACATCCCTAAAACTTGACCATTCCCCCGATTTACAGTGTGTGGTATCATCACTCAATGACGTTGTATTCACATCAATATTCTCAATTTTATCACTATGTTTACATGCAGTGTGTTTCATGTTGTGTTGTGTCTCTATTTATAGATGTTGTTTTGTCCTACAAACTCTATTGTACGAACAGTTTTGTATACTTCATTCTTACCTCTGTTACCCACCACCTTGCATAAAGGACCATATTGTATATATTCGATTTATTATATTCTATACATATCAAAAAGGGTGTATGCCGCACATTCGTGTTTTAGGCCGTATGGTCTTGTGCATAAATTCCGTTTTCTGTATTTTCAAATACTAACTCTTTTATATTGCCTTCACGAGACGAATAAACATACATGCCACATCACAAGGGAACACCAACGTCCTTGGCTATGTATGTCACCGTAGTATTAGTATATGCCAACGGTGGGCAAACCGCGGCTCGCCGGAGTTTTGTTGCGGTTCTTCTCGCTGGCAATAGTTATATCAATGAGCATATGTATATATGCTCATAAGCTCATTGGTTATATATTATCCAAATTTCACTAAGAGAAACCGTAGCGTAACAGTTTTTTTTTTAATTCATTAGGCGTTTGCAGAATATATACTTCGCGATATTGTCATTATACTTTTGTGTAAAGTTTTTGTCAATTCACAGTATTCTAATATTATTAATTTTAAAAATAATGCGGCTCTCACATATTTCTGACTTGCTCTTCTATTGAAAAATTTTGCCCAACCCTTATACATACATTTGAGGTGAAAGTCCTACAATATGCCGAAAAACTTTTAACAATAATTCTTAACAGTACATGTACCATGTTTCCCTGAAAATAAGAACTAGCCTGAATTTCAAAAATCATTTTAATATAAGCTCGCGGCTCAAAATAAGACCTAGTTAATAACGCAAAATTCTTTTTTGAGCTGGACGATAGCAAAAAATCTTTTCTACACGATTCAAAGATTGATAAGCTATGTTTAGCATTTATTTTAAATAAAAACGTGTTATTTATGAGTAAATGGATATCGGTTTTCATATTTTGCATGTTTGAAAATCTCGTAATTCTTTATTTTGTAATTTTGTTTTTGATAAACGAAAATATAAGACATTCCCCCAACATAAGCCCTAGTGTTATATTTCAGAAAAAATTGAAATGAGACCCAGTCTTATTTTCAGGAAACGGTATATACACAGTAGCAATAGATTTCTAAATAATAAAAAACGAATAATTGATTCACCAAAATGAATCAATTACAAATACATAGTGCCCATGGGATAACCGGCAATAGCTTTTGAAATAATGACAAGGCAAGTACCCTAACATGACAGAGTACATGAAGCCCACAAGTGCGGACGCATGATTTTACTATTATAACTTTGTTTCCAAGAAAATCAAATTTTGACAAAACTCAGTGAACTCATTGCTTTTTGACTATTTTTTTTTTATATTTTGTTTCTCACAATTAAAAGTCTGAAATTAGCAACTCTGTAGCAGTGCTTGTCAGAAGATGTCCTGTTTGTTAGATAATACCGGAAGTAAAAATGAAATGAGTACCGGTAATATCTGAATAGCATGCTTCATGGCAGTGGTTCCCAAACATATTTTTTCGCGACCTCAATTTTCATTAAATCGAAACGTTCTGCATGTGGACAAAACATGTAGCCTACTCGTAGAATTTAGACACGGGCCCGAATTAACAAAGCGCTTTCGCAACTGATGGAAACCTCGGCAATCGCCAAATGAAGCCGTTTGGACATTAAATGGTTGGGTTATTGCTGAAAAATCCGAAGTTAAGCACTTTTACGGAACCTGCTGACTAGAACAAATTTCGTTTTCCAACTTTTAAATCCTACTCACTTGTGTGCGCATGTTTGACAGAAATTAGGCGACCCCGGAAAATAGACTCACAGTTTGGGAAACACTGCATTCTGGGATACAATATAATAATGGTTACATGCAGCCGAGAGTTCACCAAGACTCATTGGTGGAACAAAGTACAGAGAACCAGTGGTTCTCAAAGTGGGCGTCGCGCGTCGTTTAAAATTTTCTAGGGCGTCGCAGAACTTTTGCGAGATTGTACCCGAGATGTGTAGAAAGAGTTTAAACTTTTGTTATCATCGTTTTAATCACAATTGAAAAATAGAGAAGACAATCAATTTAAAAATTATAACGATCAACCCTATTCATATGAGACCTCCCTAATGTCGTCACAGGTCATTCAATACTGTTCCAATTGTGACATCACACACACCAGGTAGGCTTGAGTTGAGCTTCTTTCAGCACTCCGCCTGCGTATGGACTCAACACATATTCAATATTTATACCACGACAGTTGTATTCGGGCAGTCCATCTGTATCTTTTCCACATATTCCATTTCTCCAGTATGGGTTAGCGTATGATAATTCAAACCAGATTTACAGGCGAAACCTTTCCCACATATTTCACAAGCATGAGGCTTTTCTCCAGTATGTGATAGCGTATGGTATTTTAAAATATTTGACCTGGCTAATTCTTTCCCACAATCATATTTCACAAGCATGTGGTTTTTTAGATTACTTGTACCTGCAAAAGCTTTTCCCCAGTATGACTTTGCATGTGGCCTTTCAAATTACCAAGAGTTAAAAAATCTCTTCCACAAGCATGAGGTTTTTCTTTACAAAATTATTGTTTCAATCCATGCATAGTGTATTTTTCTACATACAAGCTACAACATGACCAGTGTTTCCGAGTCTGTGGAGAGCGTTTGAATGAGTCTACAACGAGCCAGAAATTCACCACGGGCCAATATCAGCCAAGTTACGATTTACGTTAGAATTTACCTAAAACGTAAAAAGCAAGCTTTATTCACATAACATTAATCGAGTCAATAATTACCGGTTACTGAGTAGAACTGGGCCTATATTAGAATAGCAATTTACTATTCGGAAATTTGGTAATACGTGACGCGACAGGTCACTTGTGCGTCGCTTAATCAAACGATTGGATTTAAAGCGAGTCGGCACACACGTCATTAGCTACCTAAGTGGTGTTTCTCGCGAGTTCGAACAGCGAGGAATAAATTTTTCTGGTAGGTGTCAACCCAGATTTTCTAAATTGAAAAGCGGCAATACTAAAATAAAATGGAGAACACCATAAGTTTATGATAGTACGCGACCGATTAAAAGCGCTTTTTCAGACAATGCAAATAGCAAAAGTTCGCCACTGCAGTGTACATACCAGGGCAATTTCCCTTAGGATTCTTTGCTTTGTTGCCTCCACATTGGTACGTACAGTAGTACTGGAGCACCGTAAGTGTTGTACGAACAGCTCAGATTTGTCGAATTCACAATATATGTATCAAAACAAAATATAATCGGGCACTTTGTGTCCACGGATGGTCATGGTATTTTCTGAGTAGTATTGCTATCATTTCATCAACACAAGCACAGATTAAAAGGATCACAAATATGTTATGCAACAGAAAAAATCATTGAAAATTGAAAAACGAGTGATGTACATGCGACACTTACCGTATTTCCCGGCGAATAAGTTGCTTTTCTAGACCCAAATTTTTGACCTGATTTTGGGGGGAGGTCGTCTTATTATCATTATTCAATTCGGACCATAAAATACCTTCAGCAAAAGCATCCCCCACCTCCTCATCAGGTTAGTTTAAATAAGTCGGCATTCTCGCGCTGTGAATCTGGAATTTCAATGCTGTGATTATCATATTTGAAGTTGTCGCATTTAGGTGTGCATCACCATTGAAGGGCTATTACCGATACACGTGGGATCGCAATTTGTGAAAATCGTCAATTGTTTTTGTGACAACAGACTAAGATAAATGAAGGAATGAATACGTGACCCAAATTTTCTTGATTGAAAAGAGGCATCATAAAAAACTCAAAATAGAACGGAAAATAAGTTTTATTTTAGGATGACAGATTCAAGATGATTTTTATACTCGATGCGACTATGATATATGTATAATACTGTAATTACGGTAGGTGGGATAATATCGCCGATTTAAGGTTATTTTAATAATTGTCGCAGCAAAATGATCTAAACAACATGTAATTTGGAGCAGTGATACTATTTATATTGTCACAATCGCAGATTAAATTGATCACAATTGGATCAATAAAGCAACACATTTCGTTTTGTGGAGATTTCAAGGTTATGAATATGTATGTTTCATATATACATTTTTTAGTGCTCTCGAAGTATGCGAACCAAGATGGCGGACATCGGAACCAGGGGCGGACACTTTCAATAATTTTGGGGGGGCGAACTTGGATCGCCTACCGAAAAACACCGCGCCGTGTATCGTCACGTAACAATAACCTGTCGGTGTCATTCTCTAAGTATTAGCATGTCATTTTGCTACTCATATTTCGATTACCTAGGCTGCTTTGCTCGGACACAGAACTTGCGCGTCACTGAACCAATTTCTTGAATTCCGCGAGAATTAGCCCACGGCTCTTGCTAACAAACAGAAAATAACTTCCCATTGCCGTCTGCAACAAGCACCGCGATTACGCGCTTGTTAAAAGAGCCGCCTATTCAAGCGTATAATGATTTTTTCTGTCGATCCATGACAGCCACGAGATTCTAAAATGTCCTTATAAATTGATTTAATTGTGTGCAGCGTAACTCGCGGTTGCGACTTCTTACGTCAAAATAAAAATATTACTAAACTAAAGTACCACGGCGATATGGGGAAATAAAAATATGAGATAAGCTGTCTGATGTATTTAATTTTAATACGAATTTTTGCAATCTTCCGAACTCGTTATCGCCGTTACAAAAATCTCGATATCTGATATAAAATCCCATATAGTACAATTTTAATTCATACAATGAAAATAATTATAAAGTATACTAGTAAATCAAAAATACAAATTCACCGCCTCGAAATCCACGCGGAACAGTCGCCACGATTACGCCACATGTTAAAAGAGCCGACTTTATCAACGAAAAATGATTTTTCACTTGTGCAAAGTAATCAATCAAAGACCGATACGGGCATATTCAAAATGTCTTGATTTATTAATTTAATTGTCTTCAATTTAAACTGCGGTTGAGTCGACAAAACAAGAGCCACTCTAAAACACGACGGCAAACCGCGGACATAAAAATGTGTGGTAAACTGCCCGTTTATATATTGTTTTGATCCGTATTTTTGCTATTTTGCGAATTCGATAAATTTGAGATGTACTTGTCACAATGGTTCCGCTCAATCGCAATGTTGTCACTCCGATTATTTTTAAAGATAAAACCTTTCGAAAAATTCATAAATTTTCTGTCAATTCTCACGTAGTAAAAGTTTTTCGGTACAATAAAAATACATAAATAAATACAAAAAGTGATCGAATATACTTTAATTATCTTATATATCATCACAAACCGGGGAAAAGTCGCGTTGTCAGATTTGTTTAATGTTAAAACAAAAATTTTCGACGTCAATTCAAAAGTAATGGATAAAAAGGCAAATCCCGCTCACAATTGACCGTGTTTCGATTTTAGTGACGAAATGTTTTTAAAGGTCAAGCAAACACAAATTTGTGAAATTACCGGGTGGACTTATTCGCCGGGAAATACGGTACATTAGAAGTTTTCCGCCAAAATTTCGAGGCGATGAATATGTATTTCTGATTTACTAATATACTTTAAATATATTTTCAAGTACTAAATATCAAGTTGTACATTATGGAAATTTAAAGCAGATAGTAGGATTTTTCTGAAGGCGATAACAAATTCGCAAGATTGCAAAAAATAGATATCAAATCTGAATGTAATCGGGCAATATATTCTCACATTATTATGTTCGCAGATGGCCGTGGAAATATGCTTTCTTCTTGTCGTAAGTCGATGCAACCGCGAGTTACCATGAACGCAATTAGATTAAAATATGTTGTCATCGATTGATTATTGTGCTACGGAAAAGTACTATCTACACTGAAAAGGTCGGCTCTTTTAACAAACATGTGATTGCGTCAAATATCCGATTTTGAAGTTCTGATATTAAGATTCTTTTGCGTTTGGTTTATTGCAGTGGTTTTCAACTTTTTTGTCTTTGACCCCTCAGAAGTTTTTCTATTTGAAATTTAGTTTATAGCTTAAACAGCAACCTAATGTTCCATACAGATTTAACCAAGTCAAAAATAACACCAAACTAGTGGACGTTTTAATTTATTTTGCAAATCGAATACACTTGATGAGATTTCTGCTGTTGCATATCAGAAGCAAGTCTTGAAATACGCGTAATGACGGACGCGTTTCGTCTTCGTAGTTTAGTTGGTTACGAGCCTTGGTTTTGATATGAACGGGAGCAAAAAATTCACTTTCACAAAGATATGTGGAGGTGAATAGAACAATAACATGTAATGCATCGATACTTTCGGGTACGACAGCAAAATGGCGCACCAAAACTGAGAAAGTGATCAATGTAGTTGCGTTCTCGCATTTATTATTGGCATAACTCGTATTTGTCACAATAGGTTACGGGAGATAAATCAAAATGATTTTCGTGGGCTATCGTCACATTGTCATAGTCATTCACTTTAATGTACATCCACCCGTTATTTGATGCATTACATTGAATAAAGAAAAATACCAAATAATAATTACATTACAAATCACAGACAATTTAACTTGAATTTAAAAGTTCTTTTGTATGGCACCCAAAAAGCACTTGGCTCATTGCCCATGGTGATCTGTTCTTCGATTAAGCACTGCTTGTCAGGAGATGCCTATGTCATTCAATAACAAAATAAGCGACAACCAGAGTGCTGCGAGGAATGGCAGGAGAATAGAATGCAGATATCCCTTTTTAAAAAATATTCAAAAACGGGTTTTACACAATATGAGTGTTCATGTGTCTCTTCAAATAATCAGATCTTGAAAAATCTTCTCCACATACATTACAATCATGAAGTTTTTCTCTAGTATGAATTTGCATGTGGCTTTTCAAAGTATCACGCCTTGCAAAATCTCTACTATGTGTCTTTGTGTGGCATTTTAAAGAACTTGACCACGCAAAATTTTTTCCACATATTCTACATGCATATGGTTTTTCACCAGTATGAGTTCGCCTGTGTGTATGCAAGCCACCTAATCTTGCAAAATCTTTTCCACATATTTCACAAGCATAAGGTTTTTCTCCAGTATGGGTTCGCATGTGCAACTTCAAAATAGATGACCGTGCAAAATCCTTCCCACAAACCTCACAAGTATAAGGCTTTTCTTCAGTATGAATTCGCATGTGGTTTTTCATATTACTCTTACTGGCAAAATCTTTCTCACATATTTCACATGCATAAGGTTTTTCTCCTGTATGGGTTCGCATGTGGTATTTTAAATCACTTGGCCATGCAAAATCTTTCGGACATATCTCACAAAAATAGGGCTTTTCACCAACATGAGGTTTTTCTCCAGTATGAATTTGCATGTGCTTTTTCAAACTACCTGTCCTGGCAAAATATTTCCTACATATTTCACAAGCATAAGGTTTTTCTTTGGAATGGCATTTTACATGACATTTTAAGTTATCTGATCTTGCAAATTCTTTCCGACATATTCCACAAGCATAAGGTTTTTCCCTGGTATGGGTTCGGATGTGGTTTTTCAGAGTACCTGACCATGCAAAAGTTTTCTCACATATTTTACAGACAAAGGGTTTTTCACCTGTATGTGATCGCATGTGCTTTTTCAAATTAGTTTTCACAAGCATAAGGTTTTTCTTTGGAATGGCATTTTACATGGCATTTTAAGTAATCTGATCTTGCAAAATCTTTCCCACATATTTCACAAGCATAGGGTTTTTCCCTGGTATGGGTTCGGATGTGATTTTTCAAAGTACCTGACCATGCAAAAGCTTTCTCACATATATTACAGAAATAAGGTTTTTCACCAGTATGTGATCGCATGTGCTTTTTCAAACAACTTATCCATGCAAAATCTTTCCCACATATTTCACAAGCATGCGGTTTGTCTTTCATTTAAATTTCTATATCAAATATACTGAAACAAGATTACAGCATTATTAATTCTGAAATTTATACTCCAGTTAAATAAAATTCTGGTTTTGTCTCTAGTTCTGTACGATTATTTATCTCCTACAATTAACACAAACCAAACGAAAATTGTGGAATATCTGAAATTTCCAATAAACACACAAAGTGAAACAAACAGGTAAAATCAAATCATGCATGTTTTGAATTCGGCCTCTAAAAATAGTTGCAGAGCAAAAATAATGGTTTGACAAAGTAATCAGTAGTGTTAGATAAATGCAATGGAGAACCGAAACAACAATGTATGGACATATCACAGGACTATACAGGTGGATCATATATAAAACATACACAGTAATATAAGAACAGATATTTAGTATTTTTATTACTCTGTACTCTTGAGGAAGTAGTATTAAGTTAATAAAAAACTAGTAATAACAAATGATATGTGTTTTGCCATTGCTTCGATAGTTCAACAGTGGGCCATATAACCAACTTTAGACATTTTACTGGGTCACACAAGAATTTTTTTTTCTATGTACACAACAAATTAAAAAATTGGAGACAACTAGAGCGTCATGAGTGAAGGCAAGAATATCGCTTAAATTTTTAGTAATAAAGACACAGGGCAAAGTGGCAAAAGATCTATCATTGTGTAAAACTGGAATAATCTAACTATTGACAAGAGCCACTCACACTATATTGCTTAGTGGGCCAGGTTGTGACCAGTGAACCGCAAGTTATACACTCCGGATCCAACAAAAAATAAAGCGAGAAGAAAATAAAAAAAAAAAAATTAAAAAAAGGGATTTACAATATATGAGTCTTCATGTGTCTCCTCAAATAATCTGATCTTGAAAAATCTTCCCCACATATATCAAAAGCATGAGGTTTTTTTTTCAGTATGAATCCGCATGTGGCTTTTCAAAGTATCACGCCTTGCAAAATTTCTCCCACATATTTCACAAGCATGAAATTTCACTCTGGTATGTGTTAAAATGTGTCTTTTCAAAGAATAACGCCTTGTAAAATTTTTCCCACATATTTCACAAGCAAGAAGCTTTTCCCCAGTATGTGTTCGCATGTGGTATTTCAAACTTCTTGACCATGCAAAACTCTTCCCACATACTTCACAAGAATTAGACTTTGTCCTGGTATGAATTTGTTTGTGGCTTATCAAATTACCAAGTGAAGCAAAACTTTTCCCACATATTTCACAGGCATGAGGTTTTTCCCCCGTATGCGTTCGCATGTGCACTTTCAAATCACTTAGCCTGGCAAAATCTTTTCTACACACTTTACAAACATGAGGTTTCTCTCCCGTATGCGTTCGCATGTGGGTTTTCAAATTACCTGACCATGCAAAATCTTTTCTACATATTTCACAAGCAAAAGGTTTTTCTCCATTGTGCGTTTTTATGTGGCTTTTCAAGGTACTTGGTTGTGCAAAATACTTTCCACATATCTTACAAGCATGTGGTTTTTCTCCGGTATGTGTTCGCATGTGAAATTTCAAAGTTTCAGCCATTTTGAAATCTTTTCCACATATTCCACAAACATAAGGTCTTTCACCAGTATGAATTCGCATGTGGTTTCTCAGAGTGATTGGCATTGAGAAATATTTTCCACATACTTTACAAGCATGTGGTTTTTCTCCAGTATGGACTTGCATGTGGTTTTTCAATTTTCCTCGATCTCTAAAATCTTTTCCACATATTTCACAGACACGAACATATGTTTTCCTGTTGTGTATTCGCATGTGGTATTTCAAGGTTTGATGCCATGTGAAATTTTTTCTACAGATTTCACAAGCATATGGTTTTTCACCTGTATGGACTCGAATGTGAATCTGGCCTTATGAAACATTTTCCACATATTCCACAAGCATGTGGTTTTTCTCCAGTGTGGGTTTGCCTGTGGTATTCCAATTTACTTTTCCCTGTAAAATCTTTACCGCATATTCCACAGACATGAGCTTTTTTCTCAGTATGTGTTCGCATGTGGTACTTCAAATTAATGGCCGTCGCAAAAAAATTTCCACATATTTCACAAGCATTCGTTTTTTCTTCCATGTCCATTGTACTGGAACACGACGCATTTTCCCCATTGTCAATATCCATTTTATTCAACTGTAAATCCTAAATCTTTGATACCGGTATTATTTCATTTAATATTAGTTCTATGTTCATTTATGGCATGTCATAAATATTGAAACGAAATCATTGCAATAAAAAATATAGTACACACAGAGGGCAGATAACTTTTTTATGGTTTTGCAGGCAGGCAACTAGAATAAAGCCAGGCCACAGAAAATTTGGACTGGGCCAAGGGGAGTTTCAGGAGTCAAGACTGATACCGGTCGGACACTTCTATCATGCTAGCAAAATCCTACTGCTTGAAAACTCGATGTCATAAAAAATGTTCCTTTATAAAATTGGAAAAAATAATTTAATTGTATTCTGCAAACGTGGCCTTAGATTTTCGTATATTATTACAGTATCCAATTTCTTGTGAATAAACTTTGATGACATTATGTAAGTATTGCAATAAAATGCCGTATACGTGTGAGTAAAATACAAATAAAGTTCCAAAAAATTTGAAATTTGTCATGGGGTCTCAAATAAAATTAGAACATTGATAGATAGATAGATAAGATACTCTTTCCAGAAAAGAGACAGCAAGATAACATAAATTTCATAAAATTCCAAATAAAAAGTTGAATTGACCCAAAATGTTAACAAGATTTGCTTTTAAAGCTCAAAAAATATTTTGGGTATGGAATGATACTTTCAACGTATTTTCAATAAAAATAAAAAAAAGAATTGAAAAAAAACTTGATCAGTTTTGCAAAAAAATACTTACAGTATATTGTTAAATTGACACAAAAAATATTTCGGATGTGACCATATTCTGTGGCCCCGTGTCCTGGCTCCAAAGCTACAAAAAATCACCACTCCCACTCCAGTTTGGGGAAAGCAATTTTTCAACTCTCAATACTCTTGGCCTCTAGTCGAAACCACTAGCTGTTACGTCTAACTTGGAAATTAAAAATTTCAGAACTTCACCTTCCTAAAAAATGATTGGCTAATCCCCTGCACACACATGTGAACATTACTGCCATGAAATACTGATGAACAAAATGTTATAACCGAAACTTACATGCTTACAAGAGTTGCTGGGATCCAATACAATATTATGAGCAAGATTTATCGGCCATACACAGTATAACTATCATAGATTGAATGGAACAAAATGTAAAATGTTCCTCACTTTGGAGCAGTATCATGCGGTAAAAGTCATCTGCAAACCTATCTGTGACAGAATAGTCCCCGTTTGCAAGGTTGAAGGGCCACAAAACCTTGAAAAGTCTCGCGTGCCGCAGTCCGGAATACTCAAAGGTGATCAGAATAATGCGAATCTACTTACTTTAAACGTTTTAAAGTACAGTTCTAATAAGCCTATTATTATGTTGTATGAGTGGTGTTTCTTCAAGTAAGATATATAAAGCCTTCAGTTATTTTAAAATTGCTTCTCAAGAATTACTGTTGTATTTTTCGTCAAAGAACAACCAAGCCCGTCAAGTTGGGATTTGATGACCTAGCTAAAAAAACATTCATTTCTGCACTTCGTCACAAGGCCCACGTCAAAAATGTTTTGTCAATAAATACAAATATACACTAGAATTGTTCTGCGGGCCGCACGAAATGTGCCAGGGTTTGTACCACCTTGATTTACATTATAATGAAAGGACAAAAAAGTTGAATAGCAAAACGGAGGCAGTAAAGTTAAATGAATATCACAGGGAACCATTGCGAGGGTAAATCTGAACGAGAGTTGATTTTGGTATGACAAATTATTTTGCATAAAAAGCAAAATTGAAAACAAAAGAACGATCTTGACCTCTTTATCATTTGCTGAACAAATTGAAATTTTGAACACACCAAAAAAATCTTACATGTCTGAAATGGTATTTCAAAATAATTGTCTTTGCAAAATCACTTTCACACATATTTTACAAGAATACGCAACTCAACGTCACCAAACATTTTCTGCATACTTTCTCCATTATGAGATTGCCTATGTGCTTTCAAGCCATCCAACCTCACAAAACCTATCTATCAATTCAACGATTTCTTATCAATTCTTGAAAAATTTGGTCCATGGGTTTTTATGTGTTTTCAAATTACAAAGTATAGAAAAATCTTTTCCACATACTTCACACGCATAATGTTTTTCTCCAGTATGAGTTCGTGTGTGCCTCTTCACACTATCATGTGTTGCGAAACCTATCCCACATACTTTACAATCATAGGCTCTTTCTCTGGCATGCGATAGCGTGTGCCTTTGTAAATTGCCTCTACTGGTAAAATCTTTCCCACATATTTCACAAGAATAAGGTTTTTCACCAGTATGGGTTTGTATGTGAATTTCCAACGTATGAAGCGATGAAAGATATTTTTCACGTATTTTACGACTATAAGATTTTTTTCGTTATGTTTTCGCATGTGGCATTTCAAAGTATAAGGCCTGGAAAAATCTTTCCCACATATTCCACAAGCATGTTTTTCTCCTGTATGCATTGGCATGTGCTTTTTCAAATCACTTTTACTGGCAAAATTTTTTCCACATATCACACAAGCATGCGGTTTTTCTCCTGTATGTGTTTGCATGTGTATTTTCAAATCACCTGTTCTGGCAAAATCTCTCGCACATATTTCACAAGCATGAGGTTTTTCTCCAGTATGCGTTTGCATGTGATTTTTCAAATTACCTGGCCATGCAAAATCTTTCCCACACATTTTACAAGTGAAAGGTTTTTCTCCAATATGAATTCGAATGTGGCATTACATTTTCCACATATTTCACAAGCATGTGGTTTTTCTCCAGTGTGGGTTTGCATGCGATACTTCAAATTGATGGCATTCGCAAAAAATTTCACAATCATTCGGTTTTTCTTTCATGTTCATAGTGCTGGAACAAAACGCACTTTCCATGTTGTCAATATCCATTTTTTATCTAATTGTTAATCCTAAATATTCAGTATTATTTTCCAATATTTGTTGTATGGTTGTTTATCATCTGTTATAAACATTAAAATAACATCTTGTATTGAAAAATATAACACACACATAGAGGCATAGCCAGTTTGAGGGCCGGGATACCTTCCTTATGGTGTGAAATGATTCATAAAAACAGATGGAGAAGGCCCGATATTGTACGCTTTTTGCTTTATAATCGAGACTGTGTCAACTTGCGAAAGATGGTGCAGGAATTTTCAATAAATCTCAACTTGTTTATTTTCACTTTCTATAAGTTCTTGTGGTGTCAGACTCGGAGGAAAATACTAAATAAGCACTTTTGGAAGTTTCAGAATTTGCTCAAAACTAGAATTCTATGAAAATGGGTTAAATTTGAGCAGAAAATTGTTATTACAATATTTTCAAATAACTTAGCATTGTTACATATTTGCCACATAATTCTCAAGCATGAATTTTTTTCTTTCGAATGAATTTCGATATACATTGTACTGAAAAAAGACCAATTAAAATTCCTTTTGTTGTTACACATAGATCATTTTTAATTTTCACAAGATTAACAGTCACAGGGGCGCAGCCAGTTAACATGGGTCGTAACTCGTAAATCCCCCGTTTGAAAATTTTTTTTTTCATCTGAAATTTCATCTACAAAAAGCAACAGCGTCGTTTACGATCGCGCATCATAATTTCGCGGTCAAAATGATATTCGACTCAATCACTTTTATTAATACGAATCAAAGCAAAATAGAATTCCTTAACATCAACAACGAGTTACGGGTAAGAATTAACCTACGGCTATCGATAACAGGGAGAAACGATAAATGTGAAGCGTGTCAACACTGTTTTTGTAAATTTAGAAACGTCGAAACAGATCAATAAGACAAGTAAATAATGTATTTTATGGAAATTTCTCGAGATATTGGGGAGAAATATTATTTTGGACTAGGTAGAAATACTATTATTGCCGATTTATTCACTTTTTTCAATTATTATTTAATACTTAAGAAACACAGACACTAAAATTGAAAGCATAGAAATGTCAACTATCCGCTTAACAAATATTGCATCCCGGGGTCAGTAATAATATTATTGTTCGCTTAAAAATGGGACCGTAATTTACAAACTGTGATACAAATCCTACACAGAAGATAAAAATCAGAACAAAATTAATTTATGTTGTGAATGCACTCCTTAATAGTTGTCTTTAACATCTTCGCCGATGTGAATTCACAATTCTGTCCGAAATATAAAAACCAAACTACGATTTCCGCCGTTGCGTGAGAATTAATATTTGCTGGTGAATAAAAAAAGGTGCTTTAATATAGTTTAACAACATTAATTGGAGTGTCAGCCTCCGCTTATAAAAAAAAGTATGAAATAAAAACGTCGCATTGTTACAGTGTTTTCAGTCCAGGAAAATCCAAAAAAAAATATATATTTACTGTCACGGCGATCATTTCGGCGGCCGACATCCCAATTAATGTTGTTTAATATGACAATACTCATTATTCGGTGTTCGCTTAAAATATTCGAATAACTCGAATAAAAAATCAGATTTTGCCCGCCGCTAATCACGACACGTGTAAATAATCATTGAATGGCAATAAAAAATCAACTTCCTTGACAATAAATTCTGTGAATTGTACTTTTGGTGCACTGTTTTAATTTCACCCTAACCCACCCGTCTGAAAAATCCTGGCCGCGCCCCTGTTAACAGATATAACCCATTTCCTTTCAGTATTATTTAAACTACAGTACAGCATTGTAATACAGGAAATAACAAACACCAATATTCATTCAAATACAACTGAAACTAGTAATATTTAAGTTTAGTAATTTTATAGTTGCTGGAATGCAATACAATTGGTGCTACACAGTATGGAAGAACAAAAATAGAAAGACTATACATGTAGTATGAATCAGGGGTTCTCAAACAGTTGTCAGATTTGATTTCCGCCACCTTATTTTGGATATGTACACTTCTTTATTGTTCAGAGCAGCGGCCTTTTGTCGCCCGTTAAAGGTTGCTAGTCTTGGCGTGCCACACATAATTTTAGATAGTTAAGCACTAAACAGATGGCTGATGAATCACAATTTTTTCACAAAGATCACAAGTTTAAAATTTAAGCATCGTGCAAAGACTGAGACAACTCATGAACTCAACATAGTCATCTTATCTGAAGAAAAAAATTCAAAAAATGTGACATTTTTTGTTGCATCACACTTGATAAGTTTTGACATCTGGCCCCATACTAAATGAAGCTAAGATTAAAAAATATTCTAAAGGGAAATCACTAATCCGAGTTCTCAGTTCGGAGGCATATGTACTTCCAAACATCGATATGAATTTTTTCGCATGGTTAGGCAAATTTTGATAAAGTTTTCTTCAAGAAGATAATTTTTATAAAAATCAAGCAGTAATCCATCTCTTTAATAGAATATAGATTTATTTCCTGAAAATTCCATTTGAATTTTTTCTGTGCCATTAGCATCAACTTTTATGCGTTTCGTTGCCATTTGTCTAATTATAATTAAATAATTGTAGAATACCTAAAAAAAACAAGAGGATACACAATATTTATCAACAACACGAGTTGAACAAATAGTACGAACACATCATGAATGTTTTATAAACTGAAATATATTCAGGCACTTATAATCGTGACAGAGAAAAATTATGGTTTGACAAACTAGTCAGTGGTGCTCCGAATTTAATCAAGAGCATCTAAAAATCAGAAAGGTAAACAAAACAAAATGAAAAAGAAAGCCAACCAATGCCAGAACTAATCAAGACAAGAATATTTCACAAAATGAGTTTGCACATGTTTCTCCAAGTTATCCTGATTTTGCAAAATCTTCGCCACATTTTTTTTTTCCATATGAATTGCACTGCAACAAGATGCACAATGTTTTATTCTATTGAAAAGGACACTTCCTGTTATATTCTGATTGACCGGCTCCATGCACTTGGTTTTTCCTCATAATACAATAATAACTAAATGCAGCTGAGAGTTCACATAGATTCACGGGTGTTACACAGTACGAGTGAAATAATTAACAAGTGAAAATCACAGGACTATATATGTAAATCATACATATAAAACACATACACAATAATAGGACAAAATAGTGAGATGTTTTATCACTCTAATCTTGGGGAAGTAGTGTAGCAGAAGGTAAAATAACATCTAGGGAAGGAGTGTGCAACATTTTTTGTCTGTGGGTAGGGCTGTCCAAGCGAACAGAATATTCGGAATTTTATTCGGCCAATTCGCGAATCACTAAAATTTAGTACATAACGCGCCTCACGACCACCTTTTTCACCTAGCAAGCAAAAGCATATTTATATCGCTTTCTTTGCTGTAAAAAGGTGTCTCTCTTATTGCCCGGTGACATGTAATTATCCATTTTATACATAGTCATAAATGAAAAGTTATTGGTAACAAAGATTTAAAGAGAGAGACCACAAGGAGAAAAAGACAATTTAATAAAACACCAGTTTTATAAATATAATCGATTTGTAGCTGTATAGTCAATAATCACAGGAGCATGGTACAGGGCTGAGACACGTTTTGGAGGTCCAATACCCTTTTTCAATTGAATTTGTAATTTCTTCTAATGGCAATACTTTGTACTGTATTAGCCATCTATTACTATGACAAATAATTGCACTCTTGCATGTTGATGGCTGCTGTACAGCAACAATATGATCATCAAACTAGCTCTGAATTTGTGAGTTACCAAAATGCAATTCTAAATTTTTTGGACAACAGTTATAAATATATTAATAGTTATTTATCATTTTGATACTATTAACGAGAATATCGGTCAGAGACCGAAGACTTATTGATCGAAAGTTAGGGGATCCCATAAACAGCGCTCTTACTCCATAGTGACACCTTGTGTCCCATCACTAAATAATTAATCCCTCACTAATTATACGACATAATTTATCCAAAATCACAAATCTGGTCTGACATATGATGAATGCACATGCAAAATCTGGAGCAGATTCTATCTCGCTTTTGTGAGATATCGCGTGCATCTAACAGACAGACAGACAAATACCTATCAACATACTTAACGATTAAATTCAATAAATAATGATAATAGAATTAAAATAGCAACTACAGGATTTGCATGCCCTATTAAAATTGAATTCATTAAAACTGAGTAAATAATGTAATGATGAGAGTCTGTGCAATTTCCAACTCTTAAAACTTGATAGTTTTCGAAACCCTAATTTTTTCACCAGTTAAAGGATAACGCTGGAAACATAGTTATGCAAAATATTAGCAATAATTTGGATGTAACTGCACATACGTTATCAAAATATCGACCAGGAAGTTTTTATTGTGCAATAGAGACAAATTTAGGATTGCGCAATAATATTCGATGATCAGTTTAATTCGAGAAAAGTATTCGGTTCGAATCAACTAAATATTCGATTTTGGACAGCCCTATATGTAAGCTAATGTTGGGCCACACAGAAACATTGCTTTTCCATGTACACAACAAATTAAAAAAAATGGCGACAACTAGAGCATCACAGGTAAAGGCAAGAAAATAGCTATTGCTTAGTTTTCCAGTAGTAAAGGCACCGGACAAAGTGGAAAAAAATTCAACGCCGCAACAAGAGTGAAGATCATTATGTAAAATTATCGGATTAGGATTTTATGCTTAATAGGGTAAAATCTAACTGTTGACAAGAGCCACACTAAATTGTTTGGTGAGCCGGATCATGGGATGTAAGTTTTAAGTTCTGATCCAAGGAAACAGAGCAAGAAGCAAATCAGATAAAAAAAATATTAAAAACAGGTTTTACAACATATGAGTCTTCATGTGTCTATTCAAATAATCTGATCTTGGAAAATCTTCTCCACATATATCACAAGCATGAGGTTTGTCTTCAGTATGAATCCGCATGTGGCTTTTCAAAGTATCACGCCTTGCAAAATCTTTCTCACATATTTCACAAGCATGAAGTTTCACTCTGGTATGTGTTAAAATGTGTCTTTTTAAATTTGCACGCCTTGTGAAATTTTTCCCGCATATTTCACAAGCAAGAAGCTTTTCCCCAGTATGTGTTCGCATGTGGTATTTCAAACTAGTTGACCATGCAAAACTTTTCCCACATACTTCACAAGAATTAGACTTTGTCCTGGTATGAATTTGTTTGTGGCTTTTCAAATTACCAAGTGAAGCAAAACCTTTCCCACATATTTCACAGGCATGAGGTTTTTCCCCCGTATGCATTCGCATGTGCACTTTCAAATCACTTATCCTGGCAAAATCTTTTCCACACACTTTACAAACATGAGGTTTCTCTCCCGTATGCGTTCTCATGTGGGCTTTCAAATTACCTGACCATGCAAAATCTTTTCTACATATTTCACAAGCAAAAGGTTTTTTTCCATTGTGCGTTTTTATGTGGCTTTTCAAGGTACTTGGTTGTGCAAAATACTTCCCACATATCTTACAAGCATGTGGTTTTTCTCCGGTATGTGTTCGCATGTGAAATTTCAAAGTTTCAGCCTTTTTGAAATCTTTTCCACATATTCCACAAACATAAGGTCTTTCACCAGTATGAATTCGCATGTGGTTTGTCAGAGTGATTGGCATTGAGAAATATTTTCCACATACTTTACAAGCATGTGGTTTTTCTCCAGTATGGACTTGCATGTGGTTTTTCAATTTTCTTCGATCTCTAAAATCTTTTCCACATATTTCACAGACACGAACATATGTTTTCCTGTTATGTATTCGCATGTGGTATTTTAAGGTTTGATGCCATGTGAAATTTTTTCTACAGATTTCACAAGAATATGGTTTTTCACCTGTATGGACTCGAATGTGGACTTTCATATAATCTGGCCTTATGAAACATTTTCCACATATTTCACAAGCATTCGTTTTTTCTTCCATGTCCATTGTACTGGAACACGACGCCTTTTCCCCATTGTCAATATCCATTTTATTTAACTGTATATCCTAAATCTTTGATACCGGTATTATTTCATTTAATATCAGTTCTATGTTCACTTATCGCATGTCATAAATATTGAAACGAAATCATTGCAATAAAAAATATAGTACACACAGAGGGCAGATAACTTTTTCATGGTTTTGCAGGCAGGCAACTAGAATAAAGCCAGGCCACAGAAAATTTGGGGCCAGGCCAGCCTATTTATAATATTATATACCGGAACTTATCTTATTTATGGTTAAAACAAAAAATTTTGGACTGGGCCAAGGGAAGTTTCAGGAGTCAAGACTGATACCGGTCGGACACTTCTATCATGCTAGCAAAATCCTGCTGCTTGAAAACTCGATGTCATAAGAAATGTTCCTTTATAAAATTGGAAAAAATAATTTAATTGTATTCTGCAAACGTGGCCTTACATTTCCGTATATTATTACAGTATCCAATTTCTTGTGAATAAACTTTGATAACATTATGTAAGTATTGCAATAAAATGCCGTATACGTGTGAGTAAAATACAAATAGAGTTCCGAAAAATTCGAAATTTGTCACAAAATTCAAACATGACCTTGGGGTCTCAAATAAAATTAGAACATTGATAGATAGATACTCTTTCCAGAAAAGAGACAGCAAGATAACTAAAAAAGTTGAATTGACCCAAAATGTTAACAAGATTTGCTTTTAGAGCTCAAAAAATATTTTGGGTATGAAATGATACTTTCAACGTATTTTCAATAAAAATAAAAAAAAGAATTGAAAAAAAACTTGATCAGTTTTGCAAAAAAATACTTACAGTATATTGTTAAATTGACACAAAAAATATTTCGGATGTGACCATATTCTGTGGCCCCATATTCTGTGTGTCCTGGCTCCAAAGCTACAAAAAATCACCACTCCCTCTCCAGTTTGGGGTTCACAAAGCAATTTTTCAACTCTCAATACTCTTGGCCTCTAGTCGAACCACTAGCTGTTACGGTCTAACTTGGAAATTAAAAATTTCAGAACTTCACCTTCCTAAAAAATGATTGGCTAATCCCCTGCACACACATGTGAACATTACTGCCATGAAATACTGATGAACAAAATGTTATAACCGAAACTTACATGCTTACAAGAGTTGCTGGGATCCAATACAATATTATGAGCAAGATTTATTGGCACTACACAGTATAACTATCATAGATTGAATGGAACAAAATGTAAAATGTTCCTCACTTTGGAGCAGTATCATAAGGTGAAAGTCATCTGCAAACCTATCTGTGGCAGGATAGTCCCTGTTTGCAAGGTTGAAGGGCCACAAAAACTTGAAAAGTCTTGCGTGCCGCAGTCCGAGAAAACCCAAAGGTGATCAGAATATTGCGAATCTACTTACTTTAAACGCATTAAAGAATGAAAGTGTACAGTTCTAATAGTCCTATTATTATGTTGCATGAGTGGCGTTTCTTCAAGTAAGATATAAAGCCTTCAGTTATTTTAAAATTGCTTCTCAAGAATTACTGTTGTATTTTTCGTCAAAGAACAAGTTGGGATTTGATGACCTAGGTAAAAAACATTCAGTTCTGCACTTTGTCACTGCTGTCACATGGCCCACGTCAAAAATGTTTCGTCAATAAATACAAATATACACTAAAATTGTTCTGCGGGATGTGCAAGTTTTAGAATTTAGTCAAAACTAGAATTTTATGAAAATGGGTTAAATTTGAGCAGAAAATTGTTATTACAATATTTTCAAATAACTTAGCATTGTTACATAATTCTCAAGCATGAATTTTTTATTTCGAATGAATTTCGATATACATTGTACTGAAAAAAGACAAATTAAAATTCCTTTTGTTGTTACATATAGATCATTTTTAATTTTCACAAGATTAACAGTCACAGGGCGCAGCCAGTTACATGGGTCGTAACTCGTAACCCCCCGTTTAAAAAAATTTTTTTATCTGAAATTTCATCTACAAAAATGCAACAGCGTCGTTTACGATCGCGCATCATACTTTCGCGGTCAAAAGGATATTCGACTCAATTACTTTTATTAATACGAATCAAAGCAAAATAGAATTCCTTAACATCAATTTACAATGAGTTACGGGTAAGAATTAACCTACGGCTATCGATAACAGGTAGAAACGATAAATGTGAAACGTTTTTGCTAAAGCCTGTCAACACCGTTTTTGTAAATTTAAAAACGTCGAAACAGATCAAAGACAAGTAAATAATGTATTTTATGGAAATTTCTCGAGATATTGGGGAGAAATATTATTTTGGACCACGTAGAAATACTATTATTGCCGATTTATTCACTTGTTTAGTATCAGTGTTTAAACCCAATGCTGAGTTACGTGAATACTTAACACTGCGTTTTTTTCAATTATTATTTAATACTTAAGAAACACAGACACTAAAATTGAAAGCATAGAAATGTCAACTATCCGCTTTACAAATATTGCATCCCGGGGTCAGTAATAATATTATTGTTCGCTTAAAAATGAGACCGTAATTTACAAACTGTGATACAAATCCTACACAGAAGATAAAAATCAGAACAAAATTAATTTGTGTTTTGAATGCACTCCTTAATAGTTGTCTATAACATCTTCACCGATGTGAATTCACAATTCTGTCCGAAATATAAAAACCAAACTACGATTTCCGCCGTTGCGTGAGAATTAATATTTGCTGGTGAATAAAAAAAGGTGCTTTAATATAGTTTAACAACATTAATTGGAGTGTCAGCCTCCGCTTATGAAAAAAAGTATGAAATAAACAGTTACAGTGTTTTCAGTCCAGTAAAATCCAAAAAAAAATATATATTTACTGTCACGGCGATCATTTCGGCAGCCGTCATCCCAATTAATGTTGGACAATACTCATTATTCGGTGTTCGCTTAAAATATTCGAATAACTCGAATAAAAAATCAGATTTTGCCCGCCGCTAATCACGACACATGTAAATAATCATTGAATGGCAATAAAATATCAACTTCCTTGACAATAAATTCCGTGAATTGTGCTTTTGGTGCACTGTTTTAATTTCACCCTAACCCACCCGTCTGAAAAATCCTGGCCGCGCCCCTGTTAAAAGATATAACCAAACTACAGTACAGCATTGTAATACAGAAAATAACAAACCCCAATATAAGCATTGCTGGGAAAAATAGCAGATGAACAAAATGTATTCTTTCAAATACAACTGAAACTAGTAATATTTAAGATAGTTGCTGGAATGCAATACAATTGGTGCTACACAGTATGGAAAAACAACAATGGAAAGACTATACATGTAAATCAGGGGTTCTCAAATAGTTGTCAGATTTGATTTCCACCACCTTATTTTGGATATGTACAATTCTTTATTGTTTAGAGCAGCGACCTTTTGTCGCCCATTAAAGGTTGCTAGTCTTGGCGTGCCACACATAATTTTAGATAGTTAAGCACTAAACAGATGGCTGATGAATCACAATTTTTTCACACAGATCACAAGTTTAAAATTTAGGCATCGTGCAAAGACTGCGACAACTCATGAACTCAACATAGTCATCTTACTTGAAGAAAAAAAATTCAAAAAATGTGACATTTTTTGTTGCATCACGCTTGATAAGTTTTGACATCTGACCCCATACTAAATGAAGCTGAGATTAAAAAATATTCTAAATGGAAATCACTAATCCGAGTTCTCAGTTCGGACGCATATGTACTTCCAAACATCAATATGAATTTTTTCGCATGGTTAGGCAAATTTTGATAAAGTTTTCTTCAAGAAGAAATCCATCTCTCCGATAGAATATAGATTTATTTCCTGAAAATTCCATCTGAATATTTTCTGTGCCATTAGCATCAACTTTTATGCGTTTTGTTGCCATTTGTCTAATTATAATTAAATAATTGTAGAATACCTAAAAAAAACAAGAGGATACACAATATTTATCAACAACACGAGTTGAACAAATAGTACGAACACATCATGAATGTTTTATAAACTGAAATATATTCAGGCACTTATAATCGTGACAGAGAAAAATTATGGTTTGACAAACTAGTCAGTGGTGCTCCGAATTTAATCAAGAGCATCTAAAAATCAGAAAGGTAAACAAAACAAAATGAAAAATAAAGCCAACCAATGCCAGAACTAATCAAGACAAGAATATTTCACAAAATGAGTTTGCACATGTTTCTCCAAGTTATCCTGATTTTGCAAAATCTTTGCCATATTTTTTCCATATGAATCGCACTGCAACAAGATGCACAATGTTTTATTCTATTGAAAAGGTCACTTCCTGTTATATTCTGATTGATCGGCTCCATGCACTTGGTTTTCCCTCATAATACAATAATGACTAAATGCAGCTAAGAGTTCACATAGATTCACGGGTGTTACACAGTACGAGTGAAATAATTGACAAGTGAAAATCACAGGACTATATATGTAAATCATACATATAAAACACATACACAATAATAGGACAAAATAGTGAGATGTTTTATCACTCTAATCTTGGGGAAGTAGTGTAGTAGAAGTTAAAATAACATCTAGGGAAGGAGTGTGCAACATTTTTTGTCTGTGGGTAGGGCTGTCCAAGCGAACAGAATATTCGGAATTTTATTCGGCCAATTCGCGAATCACTAAAATTTAGTACATAACGCGCCTCACGACCACCTTTTTCACCGAGCAAGCAAACGCATATTTATATCGCTTTCTTTGCTGTAAAAAGGTGTCTCTCTTATTGCCCGGTGACATGTAATTATCCATTTCATACATAGTCATAAATGAAAAGTTATTGGTAACAAAGATTTAAAGATGACGTTTTTTGAGAGACCACAAGGAGAAAAAGACAATTTAATAAAACACCAGTTTTATAAATATAACCGATTTGTAGCTGTATAGTCAATAATCACAGGAGCATGGTACAGGGCTGAGACACGTTTTGGAGGTCCAATACCCTTTTTCAATTGAATTTGTAATTTCTTCTAATGGCAATACTTTGTACTGTATTACCCATCTATTACTATGACAAATAATTGCACTCTTGAATGTTGATGGCTGCTGTACAGCAACAATATGATCATCAAACTAGCTCTGAATTTGTGAGTTACCGAAATGCAATTCTAAATTTTTTGGACAACAGTTATAAATATATTAATAGTTATTTATCATTTTGCTGAATAATACACAAAAAATCTTGAGTTAATAATACTATTAACGAGAATATCGGTCAGAGACCGAAGACTTATTGATCGAAAATCCCCCAAAACAGCGCTCTTACTCCATAGTGACATCTTGTGTCCCATCACTAAATAATTAATCCCTTACTAATTATACGACATATTTCATCCAAAATCACAAATCTGGTCCGACATATGATGAATGCACATGCAAAATCTGGAGCAGATTCTATCTCGCTTTTGTGAAATATCGCGTGCATCTAACAGACAGACAGACAAATACCTATCAACATACTTACCGATTAAATTCGATAAATAATGATAATAGAATTAAAATAGCAACTACAGGATTTGCATGCCCTATTAAAATTGAATTCATTAAAACTGAGTAAATAATGTAATGATGAGAGTCTGTGCAATTTCCAACTCTTAAAACTTGATAGTTTTCGAAACCCTAATTTTTTCACCAGTTAAAGGATGCTTGTGATCTCTTTTTATAACGCTGGAAACATAGTTATGCAAAATATTAGCAATAATTTAGATGTAACTGCACATACGTTATCACAATATCGACCAGGAAGTTTTTATTGTGCAATAGAGACAAATTTAGGATTGCGCAATAATATTCGATAATTAGTTTAATTCGGGAAAAGTATTCGGTTCGAATCAACTAAATATTCGATTTTGGACAGCCCTATATGTAAGCTAATGTTGGGCCACACAGGAACATTGCTTTTCCATGTACACAACAAATTTAAAAAAATGGCGACAACTAGAGCATCACAGGTAAAGGCAAGAAAATAGCTATTGCTTAGTTTTCCAGTAGTAAAGGCACCGGACAAAGTGGAAAAAATTCAACGCCGCAACAAGAGTGAAGATCATTATGTAAAATCATCGGATTAGGATTTTATGCTTAATAGGGTAAAATCTAACTGTTGACAAGAACCACACTAAATTGTTTGATGAGCCGAGTCATGGGATGTAAGTTTTAAGTTCTGATCCAAGGAAACAGAGCAAGAAGCAAATCAGACAAAAAAAATATTAAAAACAGGTTTTACAACATATGAGTCTTCATGTGTCTCTTCAAATAATCTGATCTTGAAAAATCTTCTCCACATATATCACAAGCATGAGGTTTGTCTTCAGTATGAATCCGCATGTGGTTTTTCAAAGTATCACGCCTTGCAAAATCTTTCCCACATATTTCACAAGCATGAAGTTTCACTCTGGTATGTGTTAAAATGTGTCTTTTTAAAGATTCACGCCTTGTAAAATTTTTCCCACATATTTCACAAGCAAGAAGCTTTTCCCCAGTATGTGTTCGCATGTGGTATTTCAAACTAATTGACCATGCAAAATCTTTCCCACATACTTCACAAGCATTAGGTTTTGTTCTGTTATGAGTTTGTTTGTGGCCTATCAAAGAACCAAGTGAAGCAAAACCTTTCCCACATATTTCACAAGCATAAGGTTTTTCACCAGTATGCGTTCGCTTGTGTACTTTCAAATCACTTATACTAGCAAAACCTTTTTCACATATTTTACAAACATGAGGTTTTTCTCCCGTATGCGTTCGTATGTGCTTTTTCAAATTACCTGCCCATGCAAAATCTTTCCCACATATTTCACAAGCAAAAGGTTTTTTTCCAGTATGAGTTCGTATGTGCTTTTGCAAGGAACTTGTTAGAGCAAAATGTTTTCCACATATCTTACAAGCATGAGGTTTTTCTCCTGTATGTGTTCGCCTATGAAATTTCAATGTTTCAACCCTTTTGAAATCTTTTCCACATATTTCACAAGCATAAGGTCTTTCACCAGTATGAATTCGCATGTGGTTTTTCAGAGTGATTGGCAATGGGAAACTTTTTCCACATATTTCACAAACATGTGGTTTTTCTCCAGTGTGGGTTCGCATGTGCCTTTTCAAGTGACTTGGCGTTCTAAAATCTTTTCCACATATTTCACAGACATGAACATATGTTTTCAGATTATGAATTTGCATGTGGTGTTTTAATGTATCAGGATATGCGAAATTTTCTCCACATATTTCACAACTATATGGTTTTTCCCCTGTATGGACATGCATGTGGATTTTCACACAATCTGGCCTTATGAAGCATTTTCCACATATTTCACAAGCATGTGGTTTTTCTCCTGTATGGGTTTGCATGTGGTATTTCAAGTTACGTTTCCCTTTAAAACCTTTCCCACATATTTCACAAACATGAGGTTTTTGTTTGGTATGGCTTGTTACATGGCATTTCAAGTGATCTAACCGCGCAAAATTTTTTCCACACATTTTACAAGCATGAGGTTTTTCTCCAGTATGGGCTCTTAGGTGTTGATTCAAGTGAGCAAGTGTTGTAAAATTTTTTCCACATATTTCACAAGTACGAGATTTTTCTTTAATATCCATGTCGAAATATTTATTTGTCACAGCGCCACTCAGAGGTTTGCTTTTCTGTACTATTAAAACTACAATCACTGTGTGGAAAAAATAAGAAACACATATAAAACCCAACTGCTTAGTTTTATATTTCATTGTTGGCCATTGGGGCAATTGTTCACAGTAAGTCGTCCTATCACTTAGGGGTAGCAATAGAGACAAATTTAGGATTGCCCAATAATATTCGATAATCAGTTTAATTCGAGAAAAGTATTCGGTTCGAATCAACTAAATATTCGATTTTGGTTGGGCCACACAGAAACATTGCTTTTCCGTGTACACAACAAATTTAAAAAAATGGCGACAACTAGAGCATCACAGGTAAAGGTAAGAAAATAGCTATCGCTTTAGCAATTAGAGCATCACAGGTAAAGGCAAAAAAATAGCTATTGCTTAGTTTTCCAGTAGTAAAGGCACCGGACAAAGTGATAAAAAATTTAACGCCGCAACAAGAGAAAAGATCATTATGTAAAATTATCGGATTAGAATTTCATGCTTAACCTGTTTCAGACGCTCAATCGAGCCCAATTTTGAATACATTTTTATTAATGTCATACGACCCCCAAAATTTACCCAATATACAATAATTATATACCATTGGAAAGGTATTTTAGAGTACTATACGCTAGATGTCACTGGAGGACCGTAAACTAAAACACCTCTTTCAAGAGGTCTCTCGTAACGTCAAAAAATAACAAAAATATTTACACTCTCTCATTCTATCAGCTGTTGGACGTCTATCGCTATTGTAAAGCTGAAATGTGACTATACAGTTGAATGCACATTGGTTTTCTCTTTCATATGATACTAAACGCTTTTCCATAGCGCGCGTTGTTCAAGCGTTTTGGAAATTTTCCGTTTGAGAAGTCACCACATCGAATCAGGCCAGGCTAAGCTTGATAGATCGATCGGTTGTTTGTTTGTGCTTTATCGCGTTGAAAGCTTTTGTGAGTCATAATAAAACATTTATTATGAATCATAAAAGCTTATAATCGTCAGACAAGGAGAATTTGCGAGATAAAACGCCTAACTTTATTTCGGTGAGGCAGCTGCGATCAAACGACTCGATATTTTTATAACTTCCTGACGTTGTGAGATGTCCACTCTCCTATGTTATGTAGCATATAAAATGACCTTCAAAATAAGACCTTATCATACTAGCTTTTGTTATTGGTTTGCGCGCAACGCCAAGGTTTATGGAATCATTTTCTTGTTGTGCGACGTTTTTATATCGCAGCGGGAAGTACACGCGTGATATGTAAGCGAAATTTTATCACTTCTAAATGTCATATAAGGTTCATTCTCGTATCGTTGTGTGGGGAATAAGATTTCCTTTCAAGCAAGACCATAACAAACATTCCAGACTTCATGGTATACACACAGCATTGCAAAACGTCTGAAACGTCGCGCATGCGTCAAACCGGGAGGATTAGGTTAATAGGGTAAAATCTAACTCTTGACAAGAGCCACACTAAATTGCTTGGTGAGCCGGGTCATGGGATGTAAGTTTTAAGTTCCTGATCCAAGGAAACAGTGTGAAAAGCAAATCAGACAAAAAACAGGTTTTACAACCTATGGAGTCTTCATGTGTCTCTTCAAATAATCTGATCTTGAAAAATCTTCTCCACTTACATAACAAGCATGACATTTTTCTCCAGTATGAATCCGCATTTGGCTTTTCAAAGTATCACGCCTTGCAAGATCTTTCCCACATATTTCACAAGCATGAAGTTTCACTCTGGTATGTGTTAAAATAAGCCTTTTTTTGAAGATTCACGCCTTGTAAAATTTTTTCCGCATATTTCACAAGCAAGAAGCTTTTCCCCAGTATGTCTTCGCATGTGGTATTTCAAACTAATTGACCATGCAAAATCTTTCCCACATACTTCACAAGCATTAGGTTTTGTTCTGTTATGAGTTATCATTACCAAGTGAAGCAAAACCAAGTGAAAACCAAATTACCAAGTGAAGCAAAACCTTTCCCACCAATTTCACGAGCATAAGGTTTTTCACCAGTATGCGTTCGCTTGTGTACTTTCAAACCACCTATCCTAGCAAAACCTTTTTCACATATTTTACAAACATGAGGTTTTTCTCCCGTATGCGTTCGTATGTGCTTTTTCAAATTATCTGCCCATGAAAAACCTTTTTCACATATTTTACAAACATGAGGTTTTTCTCCCGTATGCGTTCGTATGTGCTTTTTCAAATTACCTGCCCATGCAAAATCTTTCCCACATATTTCACAAGCAAAAGGTTTTTTTCCAGTATGAGTTCGTATGTGCCTTTGCAAGGTACTTGGTAGAGCAAAATGTTTTCCACATATCTTACAAGCATGAGGTTTTTCACCAGTATGCGTTCGCTTGTGTACTTTCAAACCACCTATCCTAGCAAAACCTTTTTCACATATTTTACAAACATGAGGTTTTTCTCCCGTATGCGTTCGTATGTGTTCAAATTATCTGCCCATGAAAAACCTTTTTCACATATTTTACAAACATGAGGTTTTTCTCCCGTATGCGTTCGTATGTGCTTTTTGAAATTACCTGCCCATGCAAAATCTTTCCCACATATTTCACAAGCAAAAGGTTTTTTTCCAGTATGGGTTCGTATGTGCCTTTGCAAGGTACTTGGTAGAGCAAAATGTTTTCCACATATCTTACAAGCATGAGGTTTTTCTCCTGTATGTGTTCGCCTATGAAATTTCAATGTTTCAACCCTTTTGAAATCTTTTCCACATATTTCACAAGCATAAGGTCTTTCACCAGTATGAATTCGCATGTGGTTTTTCAGAGTGATTGGCAATGAGAAACATTTTCCACATATTTCACAAACATGTGGTTTTTCTCCAGTGTGGGTTCGCATGTGCCTTTTCAATTGACTTGGCGTTCTAAAATCTTTTCCACATATTTCACAGACATGAACATATGTTTTCACATTATGTATTTGCATGTGGTGTTTTAATGTATCAGGATATGTGAAATTTTCTCCACATATTTCACAACTATATGGTTTTTCCCCTGTATGGACACGCATGTGGATTTTCACACAATCTGGCCTTATGAAGCATTTTCCACATATTTCACAAGCATGTGGTTTTTCTCCTGTATGGGTTTGCATGTGGTATTTCAAGTTACGTTTCCCTGTAAAATCTTTCCCACATATTTCACAAGCATGAGGTTTTTGTTTGGTATGGCTTGTTACATGGCGTTTCAAGTGATCTAACCGTGCAAAATTTTTTCCACACATTTCACAAGCATGAGGTTTTTCTCCAGTATGGGCTCTTAGGTGTTGATTCAAGTGAGCAAGTGTTGTAAAATTTTTTCCACATATTTCACAAGTACGAGATTTTTCTTTAATATCCATGTCGAAATATTTATTTGTCACAGCGCCACTCAGAGGTTTGCTTTTCTGTACTATTAAAACTACAATCACTGTGTGGAAAAAATAAGAAACACATATAAAACCCAACTGCTTAGTTTTATATTTCATTGTTAGCCATTGTTCAGCACTACTGCATCAAGTCGTCTTATCAGTGTTAGAGGGTAGATATGTAAATCTTATACTATAAAATGGGAGTTTTACAATCAATATTCGTCCGAACAGAACGATAAACAAATTGCTACAATTCTTTTTGTTTTGCCAGTTTAAGATTTTCTTTACTTATATGTGAACCACAGCCTCCTACATAATCTCTCATCTAACTGGTTTGCTTTTATCCTTGATTTATTCACTGAGCTTCCTGGAATCATAGGATAGGATAGGAGGATTTACATATTTATCCCGGGGGAGAGGAAAGCCGATAAGATGGCTTATCCATATGGCGAACCACGGCCTCTCGTCCGGTTACCATTCCAAGTCGGGTATGGGATTAGTTTTACTGTATTGTTTGTTTTCGGAACCATGGACTTGGTGGTGGAGGAAGCCGTAACCGACTAGCGGTTACGTGAACCACCCAACGACGGCGAGGAGTCCAGAAATCCTCTCGCACATAACCATCCCTGCATGGGATTCGAACCTGCGAACCCACGCAGAGTAATTAGAGGTGCGGTGGCGAGCGTATTCCTAATGCTTAGCCCGTTGAGCCACACCGCCGCGAGATAAAAGAGAGAGAAATATGGAAGAGAACTCTGTTCACTGAAAGGCAAAATGAGAGAACGAAAAAAAGAAAACGCTCGACTGCAGATATTTCCCGGGGAAAAATACTCATTTATTAGAACGTGGGAAAAGCGACTAACACTGATATATATCGGCCAAATATATCGGCCGGTTGGGCCGATATGATATATCGGCAAACACACAACATCGGCCCGATATATCGGTCGAGCTCTAATTAAAGTATAGTTAAATCATCCGAAGGCCTTCAACAAATCAATAATCCGGTAATTTAATGATGTCAACAAATTGTGGCTCCACAATTGTCGACTACATACTAGCTTGCAAGATTGGGCCTGATCGAAAAATGCGAAGCAGAAACGACCATTTTCGTAATTTCATAACTGCTTGGCGGTATGGCGCATCGTGTTGATGAAAGCAATCCCGTGAGAATAGTTATGGGCGAAAAGATTGCCAGACTCCTCGCCGACGTTGGTAAGTTACAGCTATGATTCAGCGCATTTTTTATTCAATAATTTTACGCAGATGTACTAAACAGTACCGGTATGCGGTATCTATAGTCGCACAACACTCTCATAATTAAAGACAAAGTAGAGAAATATTGTTTGGGGTCAATTGTCAAACGTCCATTTTGCTCTGCTTCAAGGTATTTTTTTTATATTACGCAATACAATAATTTTACGCGGATGTACTGAACAGATACAAATGATCCGAATTTAGATTTTTTTATGTACAGCAAAAGGAATAAAAAATAACAAAATAGTCTGCCGTTTTCAATCATTGAGATTCACTTATTCGCCAAAGCATGCTTTTCTGTAGATAACACCTTCAAAAAGATATTGTTCAATTTTACATTTATGGAACGTCCAAACAGGACCAATTAGAATTTAGTTTACATGTACATCACATACGCTCGCTAACAATGTTAGCAGAAAAAAACGAACTAAACAAAACGAGAATATCGGTCAGAGACCGAAGAATTATCGATCGAAAGTTAGGGGATCCCCAAAACAGCGCTCTTACTCCATAGTGACACCTTGTGTCCCATCACTAATTAATTAATAACTCGCTAATTGTACGACATAATTCATCCAAAATCACTAAGCTTCTGGTACGACCTATGATGAATGCACATGCAAAATCTGGAGCAGATTCGATCTCGCTTTCGTGAGATATCGCGTGCATCTAACAGACAAATACCTATCAACATATTTACCGATTAAAATCGATAAGTAATAACGCATTCACCTTCAGTAATTAGGCTAGCGTGGCGCTACACAGCAACAACAGTACCAGTAACGAGAACATGTTCGTGTATTATGATGAATAATTGAACGCCAAAGCGGGACTTTTGGCTGACTTGTTGGGACAGCGGGACGTATGGTAAGCCTAGGTATAGGAATAATGTTTGGCGTCAAGGTCAAACGTCTATTTTTGCTCTGATTCGACGCATTTTTATCCAATAATTTTAAGTGGATGTCTTGAACAGTATATAAAGTCAAAATCAGTTGCACATGGGCAGGGTCATTTTGCACGCCGTGAGCTGTAATTGCACGCCGGGAATTCTGATTTGCACTCGGGAATTTCTGATTGCACGCCCGATTTCCAGTTCAAAAAGGGCGTGAAATCCAGACCTACCCTACAACAGTTCTGTAAAACCGGCTTACTTCGGATGAAATTTTCAAAGGTTCATATCTTTACTAAATTATGTCATATTGTGCTTCTGGCAGTTTTTATAGCAGTGTTTCCCAACCCGAGTCCGCGGTTTCAAATGAGTCCTCAGAGCGTTCGAATGAGTCCGCAACAAGCCAGAAATTCACTGCGGGCCCCAACACTTGACCATCAGCCAAGTTACGATTTACGTTAGAATTTACATAAAACATAAAAAGCCAGTTTATTCACATGACATTAATCGAGTCAATAATTACTGGTTACTGAGTAGACCTGGGCATATATTCGAATATTCAACTATTAGAATAGCAATTTACGTGTTTGGTAACACGTGACGCGACAGGTCACTTGCGAGTCGCTTAATCAAACGATTGGATTTCACAACTCACTTGCAGATTTCCGACGAAAACAAGAGTCTGTACACGCTTCGATAGATAATACGTAATACTGTAAGTGTAGTAGATGTTTCTCGCGAGTTCGAAAAACGAGGAATAAATTTTTTTCTGGTAGGTGTAAATGGTGGCAAGCCAAATTTTCTAAATTGAAAAGCGATCCGCGACCAATTAAAAACGCTTTTTTAGACATTGCAAATCGCAAAATTTCGTTTGCTACTGTAGTATACGTACCAGGGCATTTCCTTTTGGATTCTTTGCTTAACTGCCTCCACATTGGTACGTACAGTAGTAATGGAGCACCGTAAGTGTTGTACGAACAGCTCAGATTTGTCGAATTCACAAAAAAATGAATCTGAACAAAATATAATCGAGCACTTTACCACTTATTTCGTCAACACAACCGCAGATTAAAAGGATCACACATATGGATGAATTGAATATTTTATGCAACAAAAAAATTCATTGAAAAGTCGGCTCTTTTACTTAGTGACGTATACACGACGATTACTTCAGAAGTTGTTGGCGAGAATTTCAAGGCGATGAATATGTATTTTGGATTTACTAATATACTTAAATATATTTTTAATAATTAACAAATTAAGTTGTACATTCTGGAAATTTAAAGAAGCTATAGCAGGATTTTTTCTAGCGGTGATAACAAATTCGCAAGATCGCAAAAAATATGTATCAAAGCTGAATACGAGAATATCGGTCAGAGACCGAAGACTTATCGATCCTAAGTTAGGGGATCCCCCAAAAAAGAAACTGCGGTTTTACTTTATCCGCTCTTACTCCATAGCGACACAGTGTGTCCCATCACTAATGTATTAATAACTCGCTAATTATACGACATAATTCATCCAAAATCAAATGATGAATGTACTTCAAAATTTGCAGCAGATTCGACCTCGCTTTAGTGGGATACCACGTGTATCTAATAGACAAACATACAGACAGACAAATACCTATTAACATCCCTATCGAGATCGATAAGTAACAAGAGAGCTACGCCCAAATATATGGACACGTCTGTTCGCAGTACAGTACGGTTTACCGTACCGTCAGATCACAGTCTACAAATATATTCACACCAAGCGAAGCAGTACAGTCAGACACAAAATAGCGTCCGATGTCCGCAGAACGTTCAGTGACGTCATAGCAAACAAAAACAAATCTCACAAAGCTAACAGAAATATTTGAAATAAAAAAAAGTAAAAATTTCACCTTTGACCACTAAAAATTTCAAAGCAATTGGTCCAGTAATCAAAGAGAAAAGCGACTTTTTAGAATTTCCACTAGGTGTCCAAAAAGTATGACGAAGGAGAAGAATAATAACAAGAACAACAACATAATATTGAAACGATCTGTCTACTACGTGTCCAATAAATCGGGCAATATATTCTCTCATTATTATGTTCGCAGATGGCCATGGAATTTTAAAGAATTAATTCTTTCATCTAGTCGTAATTCGATGCAACCGCGAGTTACCCTGAACACAATTGAATTAAAATACATTTTAAATTCTCGTTGCTGTCATGGATTGAATATTGTACGACAGAAAAGTCCATTGTACACCAAATCAGTCGGCTCTTTTAACGAACGCGTAATTGCAACGAATTTCCGATTTCAAAATTCGTAAAATTTCTGTTGTGTTTGGTTTTATTGCTACTGTTGTACAGAGTACAGTTGCAATAAACGCACCTTGAGGCCGCAAAGGTTTTCGCCGGTGAGAAAATAGTCCACGACCAAAACAAGTTGCGAAATGCTGTTTTATAGCGAGGCCTTATATATCTAAATCTGGTATCATATTCCATCGCGCAATTTAATTTATTTTTCGATTAAAAAAATCACGTTTTAGCATAAAATTGACACTCCGTTTTCGAGCGACTAAAATCGTATCTTCTACTGATGCTAACTTCCTCAAAATACTGACATTCCATAGAGGCCGTTATCAATGTATATAGAAAATTAGATTGATCGCGGGATGTCATAGGAGACCCGATATAAAATTGAAATTCGAATAAATTTTTTATTAAGATAATAGCATCTGACGCACACGTTGAACCGACGTCACTCACTTCGGAGACGATGTCATGTTGCGTCGCCGTTATAGATTTGACGTCAGACATTCGGGCACCGACGAATTGGCATCTATTTGAAAATAGCAACGATATTTTGTTTGATTGGATCAATTTCAGCTAATAACATATACATTTTTCTGTGGATCTTGAATTCATGGCGTCAAATGTTGGAAGTGTATGTAATTCAATTAAACTTATTAAAAATGACAATTAACGAAGAGCTTTTTCGTTCAATTTGACAATTTCAAATTCCTCCATGTGGAAGGGCAGCATGGTTCAAAATAGAAAAATTATGAGCAGTTGTGAAATATTGCGTAATTATAAAATATATAACCAGCGGTAAATTGTCGCAAATGAGTTCGGTTTCATGAATTTAACAAAAATAATTTAAATCAATGTTGCCTATTGCCAAATCGGTGTTTTGTCGT